TTAATATTCTATAGATTTAAATCATTATGCATCTTTTAATTCTGTATATGGAATTAAAACAAATGAAAGTCATTGTCTTTCTTTATTATTAAATCAAGAAAAACAAGAATGTGGTTCTAATAATCTATATACATACAAAAAAATTAGTAGATAGGTAGAATGTACTGCTTGTGGTAAATGGCACTATCTTTATAGTCAAAATTTACTCAATGAAGAAGAAGAATTACAATGGCAAACAGCTCTTCAAAATAATTTATATACTTGTAGTGAGCCTATTTTATCAGAAGATTATCAATTATATAATATTCTTTTTGTTCGTAAACATATTTCCTGTAATTCACCAATTGAAACAAATTATTATGCTTGTGAACATGGTGATAGAATTTAACTTTGTTATTGGTGTGAAACTGAAGATGGTTTATCTGATTTACCTAAATTATTAACTGATCAGTATAAAATAGTTTATCCATGTTGTAAAACATGTAAAGAATTAGGAAAAGATCATTTTACTCGTTTGGAGATTAAAGTTGGGAAAATAGTAAAAAAAGAAAGGAAAAAGCTTAAATCTATAATATATTTTTAAATAAATAATGTTTAAACAATTTTTTATATAGTAATAAAACATTTTCAAAAAAATTTTTTAAAAAAAAAATTTGAAATTTTACTATATAAACTCTCTGAAGCCCTCCTCTTTCATAATGAAAATGTAATATAAACCACTGAATTGAATTGGGGTCGCCTTACATATAATAACCATATTATTGCACGGGTGCCCAAATAAATGAAAAAAACATGGTTGTTTATAAGACTGTGCAATAAATATTGATACGTACATACTGTATTTACGTATGTATAACAATTGGCAGCAGTATATACGTACTTACTAATTTTTATTGAATCTATTATGCCAAAATAATAACTTAATTGGATCAGCTGAAAAATCATATGGCTAATTTTTTACAGCTGTAAAAATAGTGAACTGGGTTGGGCCGGGCTTACAGCTGTTCTCATAAATTCTGAAAAATCTGGCAAAAATTGACCACTGAATATTTGCCGATTCAATAAGTTTTGATTCAGCAGTGATAAACTTTTGACCAGGATGTAATTGCATCCGAATCAAAAGTTTATCACTGCTGAATCAAAACTTATCGAATCGAAAAATATTTGGTCAGTTAATTTTTGCCAGACTTTCCAGAATTTATGAGAACAATTGTAATAGTAGGCCAGGTTTTTGCTGGTCCAGGCTTTATAAATAGCAATAGATTTTGCTAAGCCAATAAACATGGCCATTGGGGTATCACATCGACTATTTAATCAAAACTATGTCAATTAACTATGTAAGTTATCATATTGCAGATTTTTGCATTACACAAATGCAAATCAAATTTTTTGAATTTTCAATTTATCACTATACAATAAAACTATTGCTTTAAACTGATCTTTAAAATGATTCAACTTATTGCCAAGACATGAAATTAACTTGAAATTTTCACTATTTGCTTATATAAAGTCAAAGAATAAAGCTATGTTTCAATTTCTTTTATTAATATGTGGGTTTTGAGCATTTGTTATATAGGATATTTAAAATTCATTAATTAAGGCCAAAAAATTATATTCAATGTTTAAGTTGAAACTTAATTAGAACATTAGCAAAAAATAAACATAGTTACTTTGAAATAGTTCTGATAAATAATTTTCAATCAACAGAAATCAGAAAAATAAGTGTAATATTTGTGCTTTTCTTTATAATTAAGCAAAGTAAAATTTTATTCAATTAATTACTTTAATTTTACTAATAAAAATCTGATCATAGTAAAATTATCAATATAATTAGTATAGTTTTGATTAAATAGTCAATGTGATATCCAATAGACCATGTATGGGCCAGCCAGGTTGGGTTAGGCTTTTTTTTATTGGTTAGATTGGGCTGGGTTTTAGAGTTAAGCCCAGTCTAGCCTATACACTAAATCTTTTATTGGGCTGAATCTGGGTTAGATTTATAATTTAATAGGTTATGCTCATCTCTAGTCCAATCTGGCCTATTCCAAACCCTATAGTATAGTAGTTAAAACTTATCTAAATAATATTAATTGCTGATTTACTAATTAATTTTAGTATTATATAGTACAGATTCTATATATAAATTAAAGTTTTGTAAATATGATACATTTATAGAAGAATTGCATGATTACTAAAGTAAAAAATTTTTATAATATAGTAATATTTATATTAGAGCTAAATTAGATCTAAAATAAAAAGAATTTGGGTTTTGTAGCTTATTGGTTAAGCTTTCAAATTTTTATATAGAAGTTAACAGTTCAAGTTGAGCTAGAGACAAATTTTTAAATTTGTTTCTATAATCTATAAGGGTTATAATCAGATACAAAGCCTTGTAGAAGTCCAAGTACAATATGAGTTTGAAATAAAATTTTCAGGAGTCTCAATTATAAAGTATAGATACTGTATATAATAGTAATATTGCAGAAGATCTAGATCATAAAAAATTATATAAATAAGTTCTTGAAAGGAAGAACAAAATAATATAAATATCTTTTTATCTTGCTTTCAACAGTATTAACATTTTTATATCTAACTTGTGATTACTTGTAAGGATAATTAACAAATAGTGCAAATAAATTCTAATTTGAAAATAGTATTAGGTATTTGTTTAAAAAAAAGATACAATATTACTAAAAACTAAAGCAGTAAAAAAAACAGTAAATATATGAAAAGGCTATCATTAAGAAAATAAATTTAGTGTAAATTTGCACAAATTTTTAAACAAATTTAATATATAAAAATTTGTAAAAATTTGCTAATCTACTAGAAATGTTCAGAAAGAAAAAATAAAATTTGCATAAATTTTTATATATTTAACTATTTGTAAAAATTTTAATAAAATAAATTTCAAATATCAAAAAAAAATTTTTTAAATTTTTTTTAAAGCATAATATATATTTAGCTCTTTATAGTTACTACTAAATAGAAAGATAAAAAATATATATATTTAAATTTATTTTTCTAATAATAGCAAAGAATTGGACTTATCAAAATTAAAAAACCTTTAACAAAATACAAATTTACTACTAATAGAAGATACAATATATAGAGATATATATATCAAGACTCAACAATAGTATGAGTATATCTATATAGAAGTTATTAATAAAAATTAGAAAAGTACTAGCAGAAATGCCATTACAAATTTATATAGGAGTAATAAAATATATAATCATATTAGTCTATAGCTAGAAGTTAGTTTGTTTAATAAATATGAAGTACTAGATAAATATTATAGCAAAAAGTATAGTAGTTAGAATATAACTTGTTTAAAAATATTAAATTATAAAGAAACTAGTTGTATAGCAGTAGTAGCTTTAGTTTAAGATATAGATTAGTAGTATCTAAACAAATAAATAGGAGAGGTAATCTAATAATAGAATATTAACTTTGTTATATAGAAATCTAACTAAATAGCAAGATCTGACTTAAGACATATATCTAGTTAAGAGTATATTAGTAGCCTTATACTAGCAGAATCAACTTGCAAAATTTTTACAGATATACCAATTAAAAACAAAAAATATCTATATAATATACACCAAATTAGAAATTTAAAAAGTTATATAAAAAATATAAGTAATATATAATACTGCAATAGATAGTAATAGGAATATATACAAAAATTAAATTAATTAAATATAGAATATAGAAAATATTAGTAAATTTAGATTGTAAATAATTATTTATATCTCTGTACTAATTATATATTATAAAATTAATATATAATACTAGTGTAATAGGTGGCGCTTTGCGCCACCCATTCTTTTGTAATTCTTTTTAGCTCTTTCAGCATGTTATGCTTGTAACAGAGCATGTTCGATAATTACAATTAAATAGATCAATTATATTTGAGCTTATTGTATTTATTTTTGCCGATTAGATAATTTAACAAATTTATTAAGAAACGTGTTGAAATGAATAGGTTGATAGATATATTAATTTTAGAGTTTTTTTTTAGTTTGATATAAAGTATCTGTTTTAGGTACAATCTTTGTAAATTACTTTGAATTGTAAATCAACAGATATATTTATTTGAAATAAAAGCTGAAAAGTTTACATGAAGGGTAATTATTATTAACGTCATTTAAAAAATAAATTTTTATTTTCGTGACAGTAAAAAAAATAAATAAATTTATCTAGCAATAATATAAAATGGCTTGCATAGTAGAAATAGTAATAAGAGAAAGGTGGTATTATAAAGAGTAAAGATATAAGTAGATCAAGATGGTAAGAATTTATTCTTCATCAGATTCGATATCAACAGTTGAATATTGTGGATTTTTTGCATTACATGTAGATCTAACGGGACATTCTTTAGTTTTTGTTTGATTGTGTATATGATTTTTTTGAGACTTATTTTTTTTAGTTGGTTTTTCATGTTCCTCTTGACCGGGTTTAGTAAAGATAGTTTTGTTAGTTTCAGATTTATAATTATTGTTGATAGGTTGGTTAGTTTTTTCAGATCTTCTGCGTTTTACTGAAAGTTTACCTTCAATATCACTCGAAGTTGTTGCTGGTGGTGTTTGGGTTACAGGTGTATCTTTTAAATTTTTGGTAATGTTTTGGTGAATGTTTAAAAGTTTGGATCTTGTTGGATTAGTTGAAGTCAATTGGGATTGGAAGCAATTTGTTTCAGAATTTTTTTTTTAACAGTAATGTAGTTAATATCTTTTGCATTAACATAGAACTTATTATCTATAATCTCCATTTGGCCGACTACAAAGATAATTGACTCCTGCAGTTGAATAGTTGTTTTAAGATGTTTAAATCAGGGGTTAGTATGTGGGATAACTACGTAAACCATAAATTCATATTCTTGAGTAATATAGTCAGCTATAATTATTTCTAATACAGAATCATCAGTATTTTCAATAGTATTTAGCTTTTCTTTTGGAGATCCAATTAATGATACTTTTAGAGGGCATTTATTCGATTTAGAAGTTTTATCACCAATAATTAAGTGAGTTGAGGTTGCGACTGACATCTAAATATAGTATCAATAATTTGTATTGTTATTTATTTACCACAATTAATATTAATAAATAACAATTTGTTATAATAGAAACATTTATTATAGTTGTACAGTTTAATCTCTCTACAGTCATGCCCTTGGTTCCAAGAAATTCTATGATTATAAGAAATTGTAAAGAGTTCAAATCTCTTATGTTTCATATACGTTTGTTTTAAAAATTAGTGTACTTATAAAGAAGGAGTAACTATATAGAGAGTGACTGTACAGAGAGCAGACTGTATATGATTTATCATTACCTTTGGCCTAATACTTCCTGCATAATTGTTAGGTACAATTTTCCCACCAACTGAATAATATTCATCTTTTCTAAAAATAGCTTGTGTTTCAGGGTCTCGTTCATTAGGGTGGTGTGGTATATACAAAACAACTTCTATTTCATTATCTTCATGTCCTACAGGATATAGCCCAATAGCCCATACTGAAATTGATTTTGCATCTTTTGTTTCATTTTGTTTGATATATTTAATTTTTATAATTGTATCTAAATATCAGGGCATTTTTTTATTCTTTGAACTATAATAATACGAAAGTTTAAAATAGTTTATAGATTAGATTATACTACAATTAAATAGCAATATAATATTTACAAATATATATATTTTAGAGTTTTAGATTTTAGATTTATATTTATAATAATACTAATAGCATATTTATGTTTATATAATTTTGTTCATAAGAAGAAATTAAAGGGTTTTATACCTTATAGTATTAGAGTTAATATGAAAACTGATATTATCAGTTATATAATTTATTTATTTATAAGCTTATCAACCAATATATTTTTTATACTAAATACGGTTTATTATAGATTAAGAAAGGGGCTTGTTTAATAAATATTAAGTCAATTTATTTTAGGATGTTAAAATTGTTAATCACAAAGTTCTTTTCTCTTTATCTCTTTTAAGCCAATGCTTAGATTTTTAATACACTATTATAACATAAATTGTCTTTTGGATGCTTATTAATTTTCAGATTTGTTTGTGATAATCAGTTCAAGCCTTTGATGATCGTGTATATATATTGTGTTAATCCTTAAAAAGATTTTTATATAATCGGTTATTTAAGTTTATTTAATTTTATATTATTGCCGTTAAAGGGTAGAATCATCATATAAGCATCATAGTAAAAATCGGCGGGCATTAATATAGTAGTAGGAATAGCCAAAATTTTTCACAGAGAGTACTATGTAAACTTGTTTTTTTACTAAGTAAGTTTCTCTTTGACTACTAATTAAAGTTGTAAAGGAAGTTCTTGTGGTTCTAATAGTAGTAAGATCATTAAATTTGGTCTGGTAAATCATGAGATATCAATGATTTATATTTCACGATCATATGAAATTTCTTTGTACATCTGCAAAGAAAATTTATATGATCGTGAAATGTAAATTGTTGATATCTCATGATTTACCAGACCAAATTTAGCGATTTTACTATCATTAGAACCATAAAAACTTTCTCTACAACTTTAATTAGTAGTCAAAGAGAGACTTACTTAGTAAAAAAAGAAGTTTACATAGTACTTTTTGTGAAAATTTTTGGCCATTCCACTACTATAAAAATTCTATAAGTGATTCTGCAGATTTTTACCATAAAATTTCTATCCTTTAGCTGTGAACTACTCCTTAAAATACTTTTTAAAAACAATCAAATCACGAAGAATAATTAAAAAGAAATATATTAAAAGTTTTATTAGTATTGTAAAACTCTATCATTAAAAATACTCAAAATTATTTTGGTTTTAGAAAAGTTATAATTATAGTAACTTCTTGAAAATAGACAGAATTAAATTATTATAATACTAATTTCTCTAAAGCTAAAAAAGATTTTACTTTTTTTTAGCAGCAGAGTCATACAACTCTATTAAAACTTTCTTATAATTTTTTTTGTTTATTTTTCATAGTTTGATTTTTTTAAAAAATACTTTAAAGTGTATAAAAAATATAAAATTAAATAGACTTAAATAGCTAATTATATGAAATTTTTCTATAAATATTAATTATAAATATTTTAAATAATATGCAATATAACAAAAACAAAAATTTATTTGTAATTAAATATATTAAATTAAATAGTAATAAATAAATTAGATATAGATTGAGGTTTAAAAGGTTTTAGAAAATAATATTTTGATTAATATATAATATAGTAAAAATAGTAGATAATATAATATTATAGAATTAATAGAATAAGAT